CGACAGAGTATAACACCAGCGAGAAGTTTAGAGGCGGTGTTCATTGAATTAAGTCCTCTGTGGTGTCAGAAGGGAACATGTAGCCTTTCTTGTAAATCAGTATGATCACTGATTCACACCGTTCCCTTGGAGCCTGTTCCTTCATCCATATTGAGCCCCGGAGTTTCGTGAACTCCAAAAAAATGGTTGAACCCCCATCCTTAAAAACCGAAGGGGACAGCCGATCGGGGTTGGAAGCCTCATACTTTTTGATAGGAGTGAAGATGGAAGACTGAATCTGCTAGAAGTAGTCACCCAGCTGGTATAGTAGTTAACGGACCCAATGATGGGGACCAGTAGAACAGCCTGAAAACGATCGGCTCACTGTGTAAAACGGCGTTGCTAATTACGAATAGATGTCGTTGAACTCCTTGATAACATCATGTGGCCTACAAGTGACTGGTACGTTTGTCACTGTCTGTGGACTGATCGACAAATGCCGTCTGGTAGCATGAACTCACACTATGCGGACTAACTGTACTACAGTCTCTATCGGCTCCGGCCAATTAGATGTTAGTGTTGAACTGTCCTCACCTATGGATTAGTTGACTGTTTGAATGCCTGCTTGACCGAATTTGGACGTCGTGTGACACTTGCGTCTGTTTTCAGCCTGCGTGTTGCCCGTTTCCTCGCCGGTCCATGGACCGATTATGTGTGCCCTCTGCAATAAACGTGTTGCATAATTGACGGTGCGCTTAGTTACAGGACACAACACTCCACGTCTATTTTCGTTGTGCCGTACTCTTAATTAAACAGAAAACATGTCGACTATTACCGAGAGCCTCAACGTTTTCCATATTTGACACGTTCCACTTTTAGCCCTCATTCCTGAATCTCTTGATGAGCTGGCGTGTAAGAGATTTGCGCGCTGTCATATTTGGCACCAAGAGGAATAGTTATATGGGCGTCCAGCAATCCAGTCGAGGTCGGTCAGATCCATTATCTCTTTTGATCGGGTGCCAGAATCAGCCGCTATTTCGGTTGACATCTAGATAGCTGCCTTGAGTAACGTCGTACTCGTTGAGTTTTCCGGTAAATGGTGGAACTGAAAGTCTCACCTTGAAGGCGTTTTGCAAGTATCGATGACATGGTGATGTAGGCATCCGTTTCTAGTGACTTTTCTGTGGTTGTTTGACAGGCATAGGAAGATTCTGACTCGTAACACAGCATAGCTTGTGTCCAAGGAATAGAACCATAAACAGCGACGCTTCGTTCTGTAGCTGTTGACCCACCTAGACGTATAGCGCACGGTCAACTACCGACCGGAACCTAGTTAATAAGCGAGCGCTCAGTCTTGGCACTTAGTGTAATCCCAACACCGATACCATCGCGAGCTTCGGATGCCGAATCACCTGACACACAAAGAGTGAAACGTTAGGATGAGGTTGTATCTGGAGAGTGCGAGGTGATGATTGAAGTAAGGTCTTGTAGACGTGTTACGGAGACAGCATAAGTCTAAAATGAAAATCCCCAGGGGTTTAACTGAAGCAGCTATTTTGCCGATCTGACAGATTGTGCATACATGAGTACAGCGAAATGAAACGGTTTTCGTTTTGTCGGCTCTATAGCTTTTGATTGGTTTACGATATCGTTCGGGATTGGCCCTTAATCCCATGCACCGAATGCGACAAACAGAACGTGGACGGGACAGCACATTAGTGGATGGGGGCTGCCCAGCTTTGGGGAGTGTTATCATCAAACAACGTCAACTTAACGGATCTTTAGTCGATATTGAACTGTTCGTTATCATGGGTGCCCCACTGGCCTCCAGTCATGGTATTTAGATAGTCAATATTCCGCTCACTATTGTTGGAACGTTGATCTGGAGTGAAGGCGGCGAAACATCAGAAGAAATGGATTCTAGTGAGAGGAAAATAGTCAGGTTAAACAAGCACATAGTATGACGGTTTTTCACTTGTGAGACTTAACCACAACGTGGAGTACGATGAACTGCATCTCATCGATTACTGTCTTGTTCAGAATGATTTAAACTGAAACCCAAGTTCTCACTCTGTTTCTCCCCGGTTCTGCAACCGCTGGGCAGTAGGCAAAGTATCATCGAACCGGACAACTTCGAATAGTGAGAAAAGCTGAAGTTGATTTTGACAATCGCTTAATACTGATCCTGATGTAGTGATGAGAAAAATAATCACCACACCGGATAACTGGAAAGACTAATTCGGAGTCCAGTTATTTGTTGGTGAATTTATTTGTTTCAGTTAACACAATGTTTGTGTTGTGAGCGTACAACGGGGTCAGTGCGATTCAAACGGACAATTTTCTATCGTTCATATACTTGTTTTCTAGACAAAAACTAAATAACTGTGAAGGAGAGGAAGTGTCAGTGTGTGCCTCCAGTGATACCGACCTGACGAAAACACCTGGTCGTGGACCGGAAAAGCTGTTGTTTCCTGTTCCGCAACCGCTTACGATTTTGAAACTATACTAATCTCCAGTGATTTTAGACCATTTTGCACTCATTGATAAAAGCACCAGCTTCTTCCCATATAGATCGAATAGTTACCAAGGTTATAACTTCATTTTTTCAAGGAAAATGAGTGACTTCTTATGACTCATGTTTCACCAGTATAAATAACACTCATCGGTAAAAAGCAGGCTCTGTGTTTGCCCTCTCCTAGAGCATACGAGTAGTCCTAATTTCCGTCCGGCTCAGACTGTTTTTACTCACTATAGCCCCCGAGAAGCTAACGCGATCAATGAGCAATTTTACCGAAGCACCGACAGAAAACTACTTGGTCCCGTGCTGCGGACAACTAATTCGCACGTGGACTTCCGACAGAGCTCCAATCATACATGTGGGTAAGCAGGCGTGAACATTGGACTGCATCCAGGTATTTATCAGAACGTCACACGAGCCATTAGATAATCCATGAGGGTAAATATTCAGGAATTTCATGGACGCTGTGCGACAGCCATTACCATTTCAGGTGATACCTACTGCAACCGATAATTCAGAGTCTCGAACAGCGGCTCAAGCCAGGGCAGAATTCATCGAAGAAGAGAAAGGAATATGACAGTGCGGGTTAACGCACTCAGATAGATCAGCGAATAGCCTTGATCGAATGTTGACTCGCTGATCGTCGCGTAACGGTAGATTCTCATTGAATCGTTGTGTGGATGATCGAACTGTTTTATCATTGGAATTTTTAAATGTTTCAGAAGACTGTATGGGAGATGATCGACCAAAAAAGCCCAACTTTCTCAGAAACGCACCACAAAAGATATCGATTCTTTGGATCTGTATCTGACCTAGGACGACTGCATGAACTGTAGTGTGCAGACATTCCAAAACACCAGTAACCCTTGAATTATGCACATCGATATTTTGATGAAAGATAAACCATGGTTTACATTGGGTAAAAATCATTGCAGATATATTTAGGCAGCTCATGATGAGAGAACCAGAAATAAATGAGATCAAAACACAGCCGGAAATCATAAGTTTTGGTTTTGTGGTCGCGAGAGGACGAGAGTATATTACGCAACGGCAGCGCGCAATTCTTCGCATAGACCGCGCACTTCGCGATACTCCATCAGATTAAGGTGTTTCGCCAACTTGGGCAAAGCTTGTTCGGTCAAAAACTCCACATTGACCAGGATTGTGGAACGCTAAAAATTACGAGAGGAAGTGTATGAGTGAGGAAAACAAGCAGGTAGACGCGGGTAAGAGAACGTCAAGGTCACAAAGACCGACTGTGAGATGCGTGTGAGTGTACAGGAATGTCGACTTTTAAAAAATTCTCTGGGAAACACTGGGTTGGGAATCTGGAGGTTTGAACAAGCCAGTGTCATGAAACTTGTCAAAGCTAACGCGGACAATCGTGTCTCCAACAGCCGGATAGTTCACCATTCACTAACTATTTCAGTGCAAAGACAACAGGGATAGACGTTTGTCTCTATTTTTGTCACAACATATGTCGCGGTTTACACAATGAACCGGGCTCATCCATTGTCTAATCGTTCTTCCAGAATATGTTCACGTGGATTGTCAAGCCGAGCTGTAGTGACAGTCCATGTGTGTTTGTGCACGGCTACAGTTATGGGAATTGCTTCATGCGTACTCACAGGACGCGTTACATTTCAGTTTGAAAAACCATTAACTGTCCACTTTCGTGAGCCGGTTTTGGTTGCCGTCGTTTGGCTGCCCATTCCGAAGAATAACCGGAGCAGACAGGAAAGTTGAAGGAAGAGCCGAACAGAAAACGGAGAAGTTCAGTGGTCAGTTTGCAAAGAAACTGAGAAGACACACGAACGCCACTGTTTACGACACCCAGCCTATGTGACTCAGACTTCAGGTTAGGCTTTTCATACCCTCGCGCTAGGTCTTAGATTGACTACCCTTGGCATTTTTCCACCAAATACATGTCTCAACGAACATTGCTCGTCGTGACAACCTATCCAATGACATGCGTAACACATGCCCCAACCAAGGTAATCTATGGAGGTCTGCCACTTGCTCCAGTGGGCGACCGCGAATATCCATAACTCTGCCCCAACCTCAGCATTGGCTCATCCGGCTACCCCACCAGATTCGTGCAATGCTGCGTAGACAGCGGTGTTCGAACACCGACGGTCTATCTTTATCCTATTTCCTCAATGACCAAGTTTCTGCGCCGTATAGCAGAAGTGGCCGAACTGCCACAGCATGCACTCGATCCTTCACACAGCCGGATGTTGCAACGGCGGGTTGAGAACTAGTCAAATGGGAAAGATGGCTTTCCAAATGGGCGCCTAAGACTTTAGTGCACGACATAGATCGTGGCAGCCCACACTGACGAAGGGGTTTTTCTTTGGGAACCCTAACCGGAGCCTTTGACTCGAGAGTCTGACCCACAAGGCAGTGGGGCGTAAATCCAACGCGGGAGCGTGAAAGAAGCACCCGTGTGGGAGCTTCTGGAGCCTGTCACGCAAGGCCTTTGAATTTCGGTTAAGTTTGTTGTTCGCTGGTGCGTTGATTATTGGTAGATCGTGGCAGGCCACATCGACGAAAGGTTTTCTTTTTGGGAACCCTAACCGGGGCCTTTGATTCAAGAGTCTGACCCGCAAAACAGTGGGGATCTGCAGGTTTTTCTTTGGGAACTCTAACATTACATTTCACAAGAGGAATCCCGGTTGCACGGTAAATTCAGTAAACACCAAAAATAGCTCGTCAGGAGTGTACCCACTCGATACACCTTTATTCGAGGCAATATTCGTGGTTAACTTAATGAAAATCTTCTTCAGATATCGAAAAATAGACGTTTTGAGTGCAGACGTTACTCAGTTAAGGGTTTTGACACGATGATACTACTTAACCTGATGACTTCATTACAAAACTGAGCAATAAACAAACGTGAACTGAAAATTGGTTTATTTTTTCAATACATACATTCTTATGATGAACAGCAAATAGGGTGGACCCCATAGTCACATAGACCTACTGTTTAGTGATGGAGACCGGTATTCTAAGCTCCGAGATGCGGAAAGGCGAACCACGTGAAGCCCCACTAGGCATGGTGTTGAATCGGACGACAGCAAAGCTGTTTGCGTGGGAGAGGTTTGAACCTCAGACCACAGGGTCCAAAGCACGCCGATGACGGCGACTAAACCACTGCACTACCGTCAGAAGATATTTACTTCAAACATACAAGGAGAAAGTTGTGGATCCTCGAAAAGATTGCTTTTCATTGAACCCATGTGCTCACAGAAACAGGAGATACCAATCGGACAATACGAAGCAGCAGATTACAAGAAAAGTCGAGACGTTACAACCGAGTCTGTTTACAAGTGCATCTAGACCACGAAAACGTACCTTAGGACTGAGTGTAGGGTTCGCCAACGCGCGAATATAATACTCAAACTGAACACGTAAAATTTGAGCCACACAACGACAGAGGACCGGTTCCAACTCGTAGCAGTCCAATCGTTGTCCACTTTGTACAAAGTGATACAATGAACGAATCAGCTGACACGTGCTGACTGTTAGCGGTAGACCCACTGAAGAGAAAAAGCACACGAGAAAACGGTGATAAAATGAATGTGAAAATGGGACAGTTTGTCTTGCGTGCATATACGCTGTTGTAAGTGTACGTGCGAGAACCACAAGCCAATTACGGAACAATAGGAATCGTGATCATTTTGGAAATGCTTTACACGCGAAGACCATTTAGCATTTTAACAACGCAGTGCATCCACCAACATAACAATTCAAGAATGGAAGACAAGTGTACTGAGACTCAGACAAACATGAAAACTCACATAAATCAGAACGTTTACTGATCAAACCCATTTCTGCTAGTTCGTTCAAATAGGTCTCCTGTTCAGCTGACGGAAGACTGCTGATCGGTTCCCATGTTTCTTGCTACAAGAGAAAAAAAAAGAAAGCTTGGTGAGAGTCAAGTCGTCTGATCAAACGCTGTCTGTCGATCATAGGCGAACGTACATTGTAATGCGAAAACTTCGCTCCACATTTGCCACGTTAACATAAACAAATTTAGAAAGGGTTTCAAAACCGAAATGTCACAAGAAATGCTTGGGCAGTAGTTCGATAACATACGTGGATTCCGTTCTGCAACTTTGATAAGCTAGACAGAACCGATAGTAGTCAAACTATCACGTGACCCAAGAAACCGGTACAGAAAATGGTTCGGTTAATCTAGCGCACGGTTGTCAGACGAATAAGAAAATACGTGGATTCTTTGGGTTTAACAATGGAAGGATGAATGATACTGAAAAACCGATCACGTCACTTTCAATAATTCACTTTACAATCTAGTTGCAGTGAGGAGGCTGTAGCCGATCAAATATCATTGATCCTGTTGACGACAGAGTGCTGAGAAAAACAAGACCAAACACGAGTAATGTCTCGATATTTTAGGGGTGTACAGAACAGGACAAAAACAGTAACAGTTCATTTCAAGGTCAAGTGCCACATTGCCTCAGCAAACATGTCACGTGTGTGAGCGTACTGCAACGGAAGAAAACATCAAGATTGCGGGACGGATTGTGAGCTGGTAAGAGCACTTCCCCGCAAAATTAGGACTTGTGGTAAACTTATGCCTGATTTTCAATAAAAACAAGAAAATGAAGCGTGAACTGAAAAGCTAGGAAGCACTGGATAGCTGTTTCGACCTGGTTGGGTATCATCAGCTGTCCAGTACTTCCTAGCATTTCAGTTAACGCTTCATTTGCTGTATACACGACAAATTCACCTTTGAAAACAAGAAAACTGAAATTGTGGGTGGTACACATTAACGTATACCAAGTGCTCACAACCGTGGTTTCTGTACAATGAATAAAGATAGAAAGCGGCATTCGTGTGTGGAATCGAATAATCCGAAGAAAGAGGGTTGTCAACCGATCAAAACCTGGAGCACAATGCACACGTATAGATCCGGTTGAGTTTTGTTTAGTTTAAATAGTTCCAAACACTTGTTTAATATTCGATACTTTGAAACTGGTTGAATTGAATAGACGCCCTGAAAAGTTGGGGCGAATAATGTGACTGATAAAGAAAGACAAGAACGATTTTAAGCAGCATGATTCGCAATACGCAACAACGTGCGCAATTAGCATCAAACAATACTTGTGAGGGCGGTCTAGCAATCAGGTAGATGTGAGCACCTGAATAAAGAAAAGCCAATGCAGTCCAAATTGTGTGCCTGTGTGTGTG